GGAAATAAAAGAGGACACGAGGAAATGGAAAAATATCCCCTGCTCATGGATGGGGAGAATCAACATCATCAAAATGGCAATACTTCCCAAAGCACTGTACAAATTCAATGCAGTCCCTATAAGGATACCCATGACATTCTTCATAGAAATGGAGCAAACACTCCTGAAATTTATATGGAACAATAAGCCCCCACGAATAGCTAAAGCAATTCTTGGGAAAAAGAAAATGGGAGGAATCAACCTCCCTAACTTCAAACTCTACTACAAGGCAGTAATAATTAAAACAGCATGGTACTGGAACAAAAGCAGAGCTGCAGACCAATGGAACAGAGTTGAATATACTGACATTTCCTCCCAAACATATAATCATCTAATTTTTGATAAGAGGGCAAGAAAAGTGAAATGGAGCAGGGAAAGCCTCTTCAATAAACTGTGCTGGCAAAATTGGATGGCTACATGCAAAAAAGTGGGCTCAGATCTCTGCCTAACACCATGCACAAAAGTAAGATCAAAATGGATTTATGACCTCCACATCAGACCAGAATCCATAATGTTTATTGAAGACAAAGTCGGCAAAACTCTCCATGATATTGAAGCTAATGGTATCTTCAAAGATGTCACGCCACTGGCTGAGCAAGTGAAAACAGAGATAGACAAATGGGACTATCTTAAACTGAGAAGCTTCTGCACCTCAAAAGAAACATTGACCAAAATACAAAGACAGCCTACAGAATGGGAAAGGATATTCACCAAGTACACATCCGACAAGGGGTTGATATCAAGGATATACAAGGTACTGGTTAAACTCCACAAGAAGAAATCACCCAACCCCATCAAAAACTGGGGTGAGGAAATGAACAGAAACTTTCGCAAAGAAGAAATTCGAATGGCAAAAAGGCACATGAGAAAATGCTCTACATCACTAATCATCAGAGAGATGCAGATCAAAACCACAATGAGATATCATTTCACACCACAGAGACTGGCCCACATCCACAAGAACAAAAGCAACCGGTGCTGGCGCGGATGTGGCGAGAAAGGGACCCTCCTTCACTGTTGGTGGGAATGCCGGCTGGTCCAACCCTTTTGGAAAACAGTATGGACGACTCTCAAAAAATTAGAATTTGATCTGCCATTTGACCCAGCTATAGCACTCCTGGGAATATATCCCAGAGAGGCAAAAAGGTATAGTCGAAGTGACATCTGCAATTGTTTGTTCATTGCAGCACTCTTTACAATAGCCAGAATCTGGAAAAAACCTGAGTGCCCAAGAACAGATGACTGGTTAAAGAAACTTTGGTACATTTACACAATGGAGTACTATGTAGCTGTTAGAAAAGATGAAGTTATGAAATTTACATACAAGTGGTACTACATGGAAAGTATCATGTTAAGCGAAATGAGTCACAAAGAGCAGGATAGACACAGAAAGATTGCATTCATCTGGGGAACATAAAGCAACAAAAAGGGAGATTAACACCCAGGAATGGCTGAGATTAGTACCAGGAATTTTGCTCCATGAATGGAAGGCCAGCTACAGGCTCTAGGTGAAAAGGAAGCTCAGATAGAGAAGAGAGCACCAAATGAAGGATGTTGTGAGGGCCCTCCTAGGGTGGGAGAAGCATGCTAAAAGTAGTCGATAGACCAAACATGATTGCCACTCAAAGCCTCTCTTGCAAAACACAGTACCCAAAAGAAGAGAGAGAGAACAAGGGGGAATACCCTGCCACAGAGGCAGGATGGGACGGGGGGGGAGGGGGAGGTGAGGGTTGCATGGGGGGATGCTGGGACCAGTAGGGATGGATGACGGGCACTGGTGGAGGGATGGGCACTTGATCATTGTATAACTGAAACCCAAGCACAAAATTTGTAAGCCTATAACTGTACCTCATGGTTTTTCACTAATAAAAAAAGAAAAAAAATTAAAAAAAATAAAAAGTTAATGAACTTTTCATGTAAAAAAAAACACCTATGCCTATGCAGGAAGGAGCAGAAAGAACAATAGCAAATCAGCATTAATTTTTTTATGACCTCTGACCTATTGGAACACTAGTAACATTACAACATTACTTAACTAAAAACTTTTTTTTTGGGGGGGGGTATCACCCGGCGATGCACAGGGGTTACTCCTGGTTCATGCACTCAGGAATAACTACTGGTGGTGCTCAGGGGACCTATGGAATGCTAGGAATCAAATCCAGTTCAGACACGTGCAAGGCAAGCGCCCTACCTGCTGTGCTATCGCTCCAGCCCCAACCAGAGACTGGGACTACTTTTATTGTAATTTACCTGCATTCAACCACCACTGAGAATTTCAAAAGGGTACAGGAAATTCTGATGTGCCAAGTGGCCAGGAAAAAAAGACATTGCAGAATTTCTCTGCTGTGGGACGGGAGAGCTAGTACACTGAGGTGGGCGCTTGCCTTGCAAGTAGGCAAGGGATGCACCCGGGTTCGATCTCCCCCGCATCCCATATGCTCCCTGAGCCCACCAGGAATGATTTCTGGAGGCAGAGCCAAGAATAAACTCTGACCACTGCTCAGTGTGGCCTCCTGCCCTCTCTGCTACAACCAATGACAACTTTTTTCAGAGGTGAGGGAAGGCCACATCCAGACGACGTTGGTGGCGACCATATGGTGCCGGAGATGAACCCTGGGCCCCTTGTTTGAAAGCCTGTGGTGCTGCCCACTGAGCTCTCTCCCTACTTCTATACTAACTTCGAAGCAGACAGCCCACCGCTCCCAACATGCTGCTCCCGTATAAAAAGAAATGCGCTGGTCTGTGCCGTCCATATGGTGGCCACTGCCTGGGGGTGTGTAAGCATGTGACAAGACCATGAAGAAAAATATGGGTCTAGGGAGGTGCGGGGGGAGGTGATGAAGAGCTACGACAGCGGTTACAACTGGCCTGCACCCCAAACACCTCAGTTTGAACACCAAGCACCACATATGGTCCACAAGGCACAAGGGAGAAATAGCCACTGAGCACCACCGGGTGTGGCCCCCAAACTTTAAAAACATCCCACAATAACCGCAAACACTTGCAAAACTCATCAGCCCAGGGATTAGCACAGGGCTTGATTCTTGGCACCAGATGGCATCCTGAGCATTGCTGTGTATAGCCAGGAAGCAACCAATACTGCTGGTACGGCCCTCTGGGCCCCAGCACTGACCACTACTAGCCTGGTGGGCCAGTAATCATAGTGGCCCCTAGGCCCCACAGCACAGGAGGCCCGCACCCCCAACCACCAAAAATTACAAAAATACAAATTCTTACCAGCCCACATATGGCGTTAGTCAATTTATTGAATCTTTTGCTTCTGAAGTTACTTGTAGAATCATCTAATAATGAATACATGTCTGGATCTAGAAACCTTTAAACATGAGAGACTGGTGAATGAAAGAATCCTAAACACTAAATTTGTAGACTGACAATCGAAGTGAAACGAAAAAGGTTCAGCACTGCAAAGGAGACCTTAATTATAGTGAACTTACTTCTCAATTTCCTTTTCAGCTCTTTTACTCAGCAGGTCCTTTTTTGTCATGTTGTTAACTTGCGGGATTTCTAGAGATACCATAGCATTCAAGGCTGCCAAGATGCCAGAAAAAAACTGAAAGAGGAAGCAGAAAAGGGACAATGAATTAGTTGTCAAAAACAGTGTCCACATAAAAGGTTTCTGATCCCCACTGGAACAAAACCCACCTAAATCGGAGAAACGATAAGATTGGAGCCGAAGCAAGAGTCCAGGCTTTAAGGCACTTGCCTTGTGCCTGGTCAGCCCAGGTTCTAGCCCAGCACTCCACAGGGTTCCCAGAGCACTACCTAAGTGATTCCTCAGCCCAGCGCCAGTAGTGAGCCCTGAGCACTGCCAGGCTGGGCCTAACAGAAGACTGCTGAGCCAATAGTAGACCTTAGGATTTTAAAGGTGAGATGGGAAGGAGAAATGCGATCTATAGTGACCACACTTCTCCATTCAACAATATTTTAAAGTGTTCAGGAGGTAGGTGGGGTTGAGTTCAGTACTGAGGAAACATGTAGTGACAGGGATTAAAAGCAGGTGGGCCACATTAAGGCGAGCTCCTTAAGCCCTTTACTATTTTTTTTTGGGGGGGGAAGGGAAGGGTGGTAATACCTGGCAATGCACAGGGGTTACTCCTGGCTCTGCAGTCAGGAATTACTCCTAGTGGTGCTGAGGCATGCTAGAAATCGAACCCAGATTGGCTGTGTGCAAGGCCCTACCAGCTGTATTATCACTCCAGCTCCCATTTTTTAAATTTACTTATTTATTTATTTTTGGGAAGCCCTGTACTATTTCTGACCCTTTAACGTTATCTTCTCTCATGCTCCCTCTCCACCTCACTTGATGGGTATTTCCTTTTGGGTGTCTGGGTCACACAATCCCCTGATATAACTAAGGGGTCACTTCGGCTTCTGCAATAAGGAGTTACTCCTGACCAGCTTTGGGAACCATATGGGTGCTGGAGACGGAACCAAACGGCCTCCCTTTAAGTTTTGGGGAATACCCAGAAGGGCTCCTCGCTTTGTGGTCAAGGATCACTCCTGGAGGGGCTCAGGGGGCCCGGTGGCAGTACGGCAGGAATGACACCCAGACTGGCCACATGCAAGGCAAGAGCTCTACCCACTGTACTAGCTCTCTAGCATCCAGCATTTTTTTTTCTAGTCTGGAGCCACACACAGTGGTGCTTGGGACTTACTTCTGATACCGCCCTGGGACGACTCCTGAAGGCGACAGCTGAGAGTTGGGGACCACTAGAACTACACTGAACAGTGCACAAGGGCCAAACGTGGCCTCTAACATGCCAGCTCTGTGCTCTGCCACTGGATCCATCTTCTTAGCATATTAATTTAACAAACATAAGTTCTAAGTCATTCCTGGGTATAGTTCATGAACTGTTAAGAATTATATGACTATGACTAAAGGTATTTGTACTCTGTTTGTGCCGGAAACTGAAAAATCAAGGACAGGTATAGTTTCGAACCTTGAACGACTCCACCATGAATTGAGAATCAATGAGAAACACTCCACAGACTCGTAACTCCCACTGTTCCAGCTGCTGAACCAGCTGTTTCATCACGGGCAGGTGTGTGTACAACTCAATCTGACCTACAAGAACACAAGCCTATTATAAGCATGAAACACATTCAACCCTCAATTATGGGATAAAAAACTTTTCTCGGAAATTGTTTTAGGGGGCTTGAGAGATAGCATAGAGGGTAGGAACTTGCCTTGCACACAGCCAACCTGGGTTCGATCCCATAGGGTCCCTTGAGCACAGCCAGGAGTAATTCCTGAGCACAGGAGCTAGGGGTAACCCCTGAGCTTCATCAGATACGGCACCCGCGGTGCCCCCCAAATTTTTTTTAAAGGAAGTCAATCCCCAGAAGTAATATATTCAATTTTGCTTGTTTTAAGCCGCACATCGGGATGCTTGAGGGTCTCTCCGAAACTGCTGGGAGGGCTCGAGGCTACTCAGAGTCCTACATGCAAGGCCGATTACATGTAAAGCATGTACCAAGCCCACTATATCTCTAGACCCTATACTATATTCAATTTTTGTTTTTTTTGGGGGGGGGGGAGGAACTACGTTATAGTGCTCAGGGCTTATTCTTGATTCTGTGCTCAGGGATGAATCGTGGCAGGCTCCAGGAACCATATAGGGTAACAGGGATCACCTTAGCTGTGTGCAAGGCAAGTGCCCTCCCCACTGTAGTATCTCTCTGGCTCCCCCAATATTTTTTTTTTCATTTTGGGTCACACCTGGTGATGCGCAGGGTTTACTCCTGGCTCTGCACTTAAGAATTACTCCTGGCAGTGCTCGGGGGACCATATGGGATGCATGGGTTCCAGGTCAGCCGCATGCAAGGCAAATGCCCAATCCATTGTTCTATCACACCTGCTCCCCTGGCCCCCACCCAAATTTTTTTAGCAACTCTGGGTGCACATGTACGTAAAAGGGGCATACAAAGAAAATATACTGTCATCATCATCATCACCGTCCTCCTGTTGTTCATCGATTTGCTCCAGCAGGCCCAGTAACATCTCCATTGTGACAATTTTTACTGTATTTGGCATATCGAATATGTCACGAGGAGCTTGCCAGCCTCTGCTGTGCAGGCGAGATACTCTTCGGTAGCCTGCCGGGCTCTCCAAGAGGGGTGGAGGAACCAAACTCCAGTCGGCCATGTTGGCTGGTTGCACTAAAATTATTAAAAATGATTTTAAAACGGGCTGCAGTGACAGCACAGCAGTAGGGCATTTGCCATGCTCGCAGCCGGCCCAGCCAAACCGGGTTCAACTCCTCTGCCCCTCTCGGAAAGCCTGGCAAGCTACCGCGAGTATATTGCCCACATGGCAAAGACTGTTAAGCTACCTGTGACGTATTCGATATGACAACACAGTAACAAAAAGTCTCACAATGGAGAAGTTATTGGGCCTGCTCAAGCAAATCAATGAACAACTAGTGAACAGTCACAGGGATTTCATTTATTTATTTATTTATTATTATTTTTGCATTTTGGGTCACACCCAGAAATGCTCAGGGTTTACTCCTGGCTCTGCACTCAGGAACCACTCCTGGCGGTGCTCAGGGGACCATATGGGATGCTGGGATTCGAACCTGGGTCGGGCACGTGCAAGGCAAATGCCCCATCCGCTGTGCTATCACATCGATCCAGCCCCGACAATGACAGATTTTAAAAGGTAAAGGTAAAGGCCCTCCCGTTGATCATTGATTTGCTCGAGCGGGCCCAGTAACGTCTCCATTGGAGACTTTGTTGTTACTGTGTTTGGCATATCGAATACGTCACAGGGAGCTTGCCAGGCTCTGCCATGCAGGCGAGATACTCTCGGTAGCTTGCCAGTCTCTCCGAGTGGGGCAGAGGAATCGAACTCGGGTCGGCCATGTTGGCTACGTGCAAGGCAAACGCCCTACCACTGTGCTATCGCTCCAGCCCCGACAATGACAGATTTTAAAACAAATTTTTATTCTCTTAGTTTGAGGGGAGGAACTTTGGGCCACACCCACTGGTACTCTGGGAGGATTCCTGACTCTGTACTAAAAATAACTCCTGGCAGTGCTTGGGGGAATCCTATGTGGTACCAGGGATCCAAACTTGGGCTGGCAGAAAGTAAGGCAAGGGCTTTAGCTGCTGTACTATGGCCCTAAAAAAAAAACCTAACAAAAATCTTGGTTTTGGCCCATACCCTCTAGTATTCATTGACCCATATATGGTGCCAAGGACTGAACCTGTGTCTGCTGCAGCTTCCTACCCATCCTTCTGTCTCTCTAGCTCTAAAGCAAACCTTTCAAGAGCTGCATAACCGAAGCTGGAGTGATAGTAAAGCAGGTAGGGCGTTTGCCTTGCACACGGCTGACCCAGGTTCGATTCCCAGCATCCCATTTGTTCCCCTGAGCAATGCCAGCACTGATTCCTGAGTGCAAATCCAGGAGTAATTCCTGAGCATCACCAGGTGTGACCCGTAAAGCAAAAAAAAAAAAAAAAAAGCTGCATGACCTGGTACCCAAGAAACAACAGACTGAGCATATGCTCTGCATGCAGAAAGCCTGGGCTCAGTTCCCAGCATGCTTTGGTCCACCAAGCAGGGCTGGGAGCAACCTCCTGATAACAGTTAGGAAGAGCCCCAGCCTCTAGCACCTCTGGATGTGGCCCCCAAACAGAAGAAAACAGACATTTCACACCCCCTCATGGGATGACTGTCCACTGTCCAAGAATCTGGGGTAAAAGTAAATGAGATGCTAATTTCACTTTCTCCCACCAAGGACAGAACTGCACAACCCAGGGAAGATGACAATCTAATTACTTAGCTACCTGGACAGTCAAAAAGGATGCAGTCATCCTCGACATGGCCAAGGCAGTTCTCCAGACACTCAAAGTTACTGGCGAAGTACTCCATGCAAAACACCAGTCCTCCATTGGGACCGAAGCGCAGGGAACCGTCCTCCAGCACATCCTCCACCTCGATCAGTTCCCAGATGTCTGCAAAGAATAAACAGGAAATGAGTGCCCATTCCAAAATATTTACCTTAATTAGTAATTACAACTGTGACAGTATCCACAGAAACTGAACAGGGGCTAGAAAGAAATACAAAAAACAAAAACAAAAAGACACCAAAGAGGGGCCAGAGGAATAGAACAGTGGGTAAGGCGCTTGCCTTGCATGTGGACAACCCAGGTTCAATCCTTGGCACCTCATATTGTTCCTCAGCTTCACCAGGAGTGATCCCGGAGCAGAGAGCCAGAAGTGCAGAACACAGCTGGGTGTGACCCAAACCCCACCCCACCCATCAAGAAAAGAAAAAAAAACAACTAAATAAATTACAGTAGTCAAGGGAATCCCACTCTCAAGTAATGATGCATTACAGTCTCCCAGGTAGACTTAAACCAGAAACACAAGGGGCAGTACTCTTAGAAGGCTAGTAGTTGTACTTATAAATGATAAGGGCAGGGCACACACCCTAGATTGACAGCAGTATCAGCAGCAAACCCTGAGCACCACCAGATGTGACCCCAAAACAAAACAAAAGGCCAAAGGGACAAGAAGGATTTAGGCCCAGTTCAAATTTCACCCCCAAGTAATCCCTGCAGGAGCAGAGCCAGTAGCGACCCCCAACAGTTAAACCAAATGCTTCAATTCTTGTACTGTATTTTGACCTCTTTCTTCCTTTGGTTTTGGAACCACAGCTGGTGGTCAGGGGCATCCCGAAACATGCACTACATCCCTCTAAGTTAGCACCTTGGACTCTGATTTTTTTCTTCCCCTTTGGCCTCCCAGGCAGTGTTCAGGAGGCCCAGGGGCCAGAGAGCAAACAGCAGCGCCCCAAAATGAGATGATCACCTGGAAGGGCTTAGGGGCTACAGGACTACGGTACCCAACAGTGCTCAGGGGGCCCTGCAGTGCTGGGCATTAAAACAGCATCCTGTGTGTGCCAATTATTTGCTTCGAATCCCTCTACTGTCTTCCTGGCCTCCACACTTAATTTTGTGCAAAGATGCTAAGGAATAACACTACAGACTTAGGAAATATTCTCGGCCTCACAGGAAGCAAGAGTTGGGAGTGAACTTTTCCTGCACACTCTCAGGTACCTTTTGCATTATCAATACTGTGCATATAAAACATCTGTTCTAAAACAAGTGAAGTGGGGCTGGAGCGATAGCACAGCGGGTAGTGCGTTTGCCTTGCACGTGTCCCAACCCGGTTCAATTCCCAGCAACCCATATGGTCCCCTGAGCACAGCCAGGAATAGTTCCTGAGTGCATGAACCAGGAGTAACCCCTGTGCATTGCTGAGTGTGACCCAAAAAGCAAAATAAAATAAAATAAAAGAGGTGAAGCAAGGGACAGGGCAGGGAGGGATAGTACAGTGGATAGGGCGTTCGCCTTGCACACTTTCGATCAGGGTTCAATCCCCGGCATCCATATGGTCTCCCCAAGCACCACCAGGAATTATTCCTGAGTGCAGAGCCAGGACTCACCCGAGCATCAGGAAAAACAAGGGCCAGATAGACTAAAGGCTCTTGCCTTGCATGCAGCCAACTTGACTTCAATCCCCTCTGACCCAAGAATTTAAAGCAAGGCCTGTGACATCTCACTTTTTTATTAAGAGAAACAAAGGGAACTGTCACAAGCACATTAATAAGTGGATGCTAACACTTGATGTTCTACCTTCTGCTGTCTACCATGAAAGCAGGGATCAGTCTGAACGAAGTTTTCAGCTTCGGTGCCATCCCAGAAGCAGTGGGCATCACTCACGGCCTCAGGGCCCCCAAAGAGAGGGACGGCTGCGCCCGGAACTCACCAGCCCTCAAATCATAGTTGAAATGCTCCGCTGCGAGATCTAAGTTCACCACCTGGACAGAATGGCACAGGGCTTCACAGTGCTGGACCATGGTGGCACAGTAGGTGCTCTGTGGACCGGGAGGCAGCAGGGGACAGAACTTCTGGCAGACCCAATACGATCAAATGATTCAGCACCTCCAGGATTGTGCGAGGAATGCCAAGAGAGATAACCACAAAAAACCGCGTTCATTCGAACACTCTTGAACTTATTCGCCAACGTGGCTTGGCACATACCTCAGGCAACTGCAAGCAAATGTCTGAGCTGGCAAAACAGTGCAGAGAAGAGATCAAGGATGACCTCAAAGACAGGAGAGCAGCAGTGCTGGTAGATGTGGCAGAAGCCAGGAAAAGCATTTGTAATGCCCGCTGTCCTTCACCAACTGCAAGACCAAGATGACTGCCCTCCGACATCCTGACAAATCTATCACATCTTCCACAAGGGCAATGGAGATTATTCATGACCTCTACTCAGACCTCTTTAATAGCCACGCCCACTTGCCCACATACCAAATTCTGCATGATGGATATGTCGTTCCCAATGTTCTCCCTTCCGAAATTCGACATGCCATCTCTTCGGTAAAGAAACAAAGAGCACCTCGCCCAGACAAGATCAGACCTGAGCACCTGAAGAACTTACCATCAGTACTCATCAATACTCTGGCTCGGCTCTTCACACGCTACCTGTCTGAATGCAAGTTTCCATCCCAATGGAAAACCAGCAAGACCGTACTACTATGCAAGAAGGGAGACATCCACAACATTGGCAACTATCACCCAATCTGCCTAATGTCTGTCATCTACAAACAGTTCACTCATGTCATCCAGAATAGGATTGGCAAAACACTAGATGAAGGACAACTATGTGAACAAGCAAGGTTCCAAAAAGGATTCAGCAGCATTGACCATATCCACACGATAACTAAGCTCCTTGAGGTTTCTCAGGAGTTCAAGGTGCCGCTCAAGAGAGGGGTTCGGCAGGGTGATACCTTTTCACAAAAACTCTTCAGTCTCTGGAAAGAAGGATGGCGGCCGCATGGGAGCCTTGTGGACAGCAGGTATGAGCCGGGGGTGTGGGGGGCGACTAAAACCTCACGAGAATGGGGGCGTTCCAGTCCGTCCTTCACGCCCTACCGAGGTCACCAGTCACCCCCCACGAGCGGCTCTCCTGCACAGCCACGGCCCCAGAAGCACAAGGACTTAATGCAGAACCCAGCAGCTTGGAGCAGAAAAGTGAACAGACTATGCGTTGATCCAGGCCATCAAGTCTGCCGGAGGGGAAAGGGTGTTGCCCCATTCGCCCTCTCCTCTCTGGAAAGAAAGATGGCGGCCACATGGGAGCCTTGTGGACAGCAGGTATGAGCCGGGAGTGTGGGGGCGACTAAAACCTCATGGATCGGGGGGCGTTCCGGTCCGTCCTTCACGCCCTACCGAGGTCAGCAGTCGCCCCCCGCGAGCGGCTCTCCAGCACGGCCATGGCCCCAGAAGCACAAGGGCTTAATGCAGAACCCAGCAGCTTAGAGCAGAAAAGTGAACAGACTATGCGTTGATCCAGGCCATCAAGTCTGCCGGAGGGGAAAGGGTGTTGCCCCATTTGCCCTCTCCTCTCTGGAAAGAAAGATGGCGGCCACATGGGAGCCTTATGGACAGCAGGTATGAGCCGGGAGTGTGGGGGCGACTAAAACCTCATGGGAAGGGGGGCGTTTCGCTCCGCCCTTCACGCCCTACCGAGGTCAACAGTCGCCCCCCGCGAGCGGCTCTCCAGCACGGCCACGACTCCAGAACACAGAAACCAATTTCTTAACTATCTGACTTTCAGTAGAAATACTTCCAGGGTCAATAGGTAAAATAGCAGAAATCCAAAACCAACATTTAATTCTTGAACCCAGCTGTAGAAAGCAAATCACTTCACAATGCTTTTTCAGCATGTCTGATTTTGGGGGGGGGTAAACTCTAAATAATAGTGGTGAATCTTTTATTGAAACAATGAATCTAATCAAAGCAGATAGAGTGTTAACTAGAATTCATCTGCCTCACAGGGACGGGGAGGGGTGGGGGGTGGGGTTTTATTGGGGTTCTTCATGGTAAAAAATAAGTATTGGTAAAGGGAAATGTGTTTGATATTTGCATGACTGAGACATAAACCTGAAAGCTTTGTAACCTTTCCCACAGTGATTCAATAGGTAAAGGTAAAGGCCCTCCCGTTGATCGTCGATTTGCTCGAGCGGGCCCAGTAACGTCTCCATTGGAGACTTTGTTGTTACTGTGTCTGGCATATCGAATACTCTCGGTAGCTTGCCGGGCTCTCCGAGAGGGGCGGAGGAATCGAACTCGGGTCGGCCATGTTGGCCGCTTGTAAGGCGAACGCCCTACCCGCTGTGCTCTTCAGTGCCACCCTCGAGAATATCATGCAACAACTGGAATGGGAAGGAATGGGAGTGAAGATAGATGGTCAGCAACTACATCACCTCCACTTTGCTGATGACCTCGTTCTAATAACACCAAACTTCAGCCAAGTGGCACAAATGCTGACCGACTTGGACCGTGAGTGTGGAAAGGTTGGATTACAACAGAATCTCACAAAGACAATGTTCATGAGAAACAGTCTTGTTCCTTTTAATCCATTCACTCTCAACAAAACGACCATCTCTGAATGCAACAGTTATATATACCAAGGTCGAGAAATCAACAAGATGAATGACCTAGCATCTGAGTTATGCAGGAGGAAGGGAGTGGCTTGTAATGCCTTTAAGAGAATTGAAGAAATAACTAAGAGGACAAAGAGCCTTCAGCTCTGAGCACATCTCATTGATTCCACTGTTCCTCCTGCAATAATATATGCCTCAGAGACCTGGGCCGTACGAAAACAGGATGAAAACACTATTCGGGTCTCTCAAAGAGGAATCGAAAGAGCTATGCTTGGAGTATCACGCGTCACTCAAATGAGAGATAGTATCCGGAGTTCCGATCTCTGTCAATGCTAAAGAATCAAGGACGCTATCTCATTTGCCAAGGCATCAAAAATCAGATGGGCTGGACACTTAATGAGATTTAGAGATGACAGCTGGACTAGAGCCATTACTGACTAGATTCCACGGGACGTCAAAACGCCGGGTGGACGCCCACCTACAAGATGGTCAGATTTCTTCATCAAGACCCTGAATGATCGGTTTGAGGCTCTGCATATTCCTAGAACGAGCAGATGCCAATGGGCTATGCTAGCACGCAACAGGGATGAATGGAAACGCTTCTGACACCCGCTCAAGTAAATGGATGAGTACCGGGGTATCAAGTGATCAAGTGACTTTTAGTCTTTTAATTGTACAAATAATTTTCAGTGTAGGAAAACTAAAAGATAAAGGTAAGATAATGATCTTACTTAATTTTCACAGGTATTTTTCCTTTGAAAAAGATTGTATGTTACTATACGTTTTCCACCCCAAAATCAATAAAAATAATCCAATAGCGGCTGTGACCATCATTGCTACTTTGTTATATACAAAATTATTTACATTCATTGCAATTTCAACTTCAAAATCTTTTTTGGGAGGAGGAGTACACCTAGCTGTGCCTAGAGCTTAGCCAGAGATCACTCTCGATCACCCTCAGGGGCTCCTGGGACCACACGCAATAATGGGGAAGGAACCCAAGCTGGATGCATGCAAGGCAAGCACCCAACCTGCAGTACTAGTTCTATGCCTCCTCAATTCTCACAATCGTACTTGGTGCTATTCATATTATTTAACTTTGAGGGAAAGGAGGGATTTGGGATCACACAGGGTGGTACCTGGGATGTACAAGGTGACTTCCATCTCTGCACCTCTGTCGGTATGGACAGAAAGTACGGTGCCAGGAATGGAACCTGGGCATCTTGCACTCAAAGAACACACCATCCTTTATATTAATTCTGTAGCCCTGATGCTATTAAAAGATTGCTTTAAGCAGCAGCAATTCCAAAATAACTCAACATCAGATTCAGGTATGCTGCTGATAACAGACTCATTATTGCTTGGATTTTTTTTTCCCATTAAAAAAAACTTTCAGATTTTTTCAGTCTGGCGCTTTCAGATTTTTTCACTCTGGAGAAACCCATGTTGTCCCTTGAACAAGTTTATCCCTTGCAACTTTTTTCTACTTTGGAGAAGCCCATGTTTGCTCATGAACCCATATTCTTCACTTTCTCTCTCTTCACATCCAATCCCCAAATTTCTTACAATAATCTATTTTTGCTACACTTAAAAAAAAAGGACAGGACTATGGTGTCGCCAGCAGGTCAATGTATACCCGTGAGGCGAGGGCATCAGCAGCCTCATGGCGCCTTCAGACTTCCAGATACCCCAAAACTGCTGCTGTGACACTCTTTACAATAGCCAGAATCTGGAAAAAACATGAGTGCCCGAGAACAGATGACTGGTCAAAGAAACTTTGGCACATTTACACAATGGAGTACTATGTAGCTGTTAGAAAAGGCGAAGTCACGAAATTTCCATACAAGTGGTAAGACATGGAAAGTATCATGTTAAGCGAAATGACTCAGAAAGAAAGGGATAGACAAAGAAAGATTGCATTCATCTGGGGAACATAAAGTAACAAAATAGGAGACTAACACCCAAGAATGGCCGAGATGAGTACCCGGAATTTTCCTCCATGGCTTGGAGGCCAACCACACATGCAAGGGGAAAAGGGAGCTCAGAGAGAGAAGCAAACACCAAGTAAAGGAGTTGGGAGGATCCTCCCAGGATGGGAGAAGCATGCTGAAAGTAGACTATAGACCAAACATGATTGTCACCCAGTGCCTGTTTTGCAAACTACAACACCGAATAAGAGAGAGAGAACAAAAGGGAATGCCCTGCTACAGTGGCAGGGTGAGATGAGAGGAATGGGGGTGTGGGAGGAATACTGGGATCCATGGTGCTGGGAAATGGGCACCGGTGGAGAGATGGGTATTTGATCACTGTATAATTGAAACCCAAACACAAATATTTAAGTCTACAACTGTAACTCATGATGTGTCACTAATGAAAAAAAAATTGCTGCTCTGTCTTTTGATCAGACCACAAAAACTTGGGGC